GTAGTAGTAGTAGTAGTAGTAGCAGCAGCAGCAGCAGCACTAGTAGTAGTAGTAGTAGTAGTAGTAATAATAATAGTAGTAGTAGTAGTAGTAGTAGTAGTACTGGTAGTACTGCTACTACTGCTACTACTGCTACTACTGCTACTGCTACTGCTACTACTACTACTACTACTACTACTACTAGTAGCAGCAGCAGCAGCGGCGGCGGCGGCGGCGGTAGCAGCGTGCAACAGTGGCAGTAGCAAAATCAGGCGTAGGAGGAATACGCATGCGTTACAGAGGAAGGGTAGAGAGGATGAGACTAGTTGGGGCAATGATAGCCACTGCGCAAAGCTCTTGCTGATGGCGATCCTATTACTACGATTTACAGACAGCCACTGCGGGACGGTGCCGCATGATCATGAGCATGCGAGGAAGCATTCCTCCCTCCACCCCTGCTTGAAATGAAAGGCCTTAGCACAAGCCAAGCTACAGACTCGTGTCTCCATTCACGGAGGCAGTAGGCCCTTACCTCAGAACAGTCTCAGGCGCAAGTTGCGTGACAGCTGGGGCAGCAGCTAGCTTGCTGTCACACACATAGTTGGCTTCAATAAGACCGATTCAGCAGAGATCATGGTACTCATAATGCCAGGTTCCCTGACTGGAGCCTGCAGCCCCAAAGAACCAGGAGGCCACGTTCAAACTCCAACGTAGATATCCTTTGAAGTTGAAACCCGCTTGAGCATCCGGCGAAGCTGACCACTCTCCCTGCGAGACTGGCCAACCGGCAGGCAGCGTGAAAAACCCAAACAGATCCCTCTTGACTTTTATTAGAAGACCAGGGTTGGTCTTTTTTAAAGGGGGAGTCATCTTGGAGACTGAAAACAGTGCATGCCAGGTGCAGACATCTCGTTCTCAAGGCTGTCCAAGAAGACCCGGTGATTCGCAGGCATGCAAGTCTTGGGTGTGAACCAGTGGCTTGTAAAACAAGTCCGTTCCACTTTGAGAGTGCTAAAGCGAAGCCTTGTGCGCTAAAGCGAAGCCTTATGAAATGAAGTTGTCTACAAGAATGCCATACCTTTTGAAAATTGAAGCCAACATGCTGGCAGTCGGATCATAGTAAGGCCCTTTATGACAAAGGCGGATGCTAAGGATTTAATAGCTCCGCATGCCCTGCGCACGAGAACTGCCTTAAATGTTCTAGATCCGGTCTGGCATCATGAGCTTGTAGGGACGTTTCCCGGGTTAAGCTTTCTGTGGGCTTAATTTAGCATGTCCCTGGCCTAGTATTTTGCAGGGGCTATCCATGCTGGAGGAACTTCCTCCCTGTCTTGATGCTTGAAACGCCTTCTCCACCAAGCCACACGTCCCTGCTGCTGCCAGTGCTCTTGCAAGGGGCCCGAAATCCCGTCGAGCTTTCCTTGAGAGATAGAACATGAGTGCACCAGAATGAGGGTTGAACACAGTGATGCTCAGTATGTCGTGAGGATTTCCTAACAACATGCTTGTTAAGGTTCCAATCATTGGGATCGGCCCTTGGATTGACAGTCTCGAGAGTCTGTGCCCATGCCAGTCAGCTGATCTACCGGAGGATTGTCTAATGTGGCTGTGCGTTCTGCGCTGGCAGAAAGTGGAGATCAATTCTCAACAATTCCCGTTCCGCCCCACAGCGCAATTCCAGGCTAGATGAACAGAAGGCAGGCGCATCAGTAGGTCCCCAAGGCCAAGTTGCGAAGCCCGAGAATTGCATGCAGGGCAGGCAGCAGAGGCGAAGAACCCTCAGTGTAGATCCACACCTTGGTGCGGTGTACTCGGCAACTTGAGCTTTCAAGTGCTCCCATCCTCCAGGTTGCCAAACAGGACAACGATTAGGCGAGCAGAGCGTGCTGAGGACTCTTGGGACTACGCAGAAGGGATAGGCCAGCAAATGCCTGCTGCCAAGTGGCGGCAAACTCCGACTCAGGCAAGTATGGACTCACGAAAGGCCGCAATCGCTGCCTAAGAACAGGGGTGCAAATCCCCATGAATCTTTCAGCGAGACTTCTTCAAAAGCGGTATTGCCAATGGCCAGTGCGGATCCATACGTCACAGCTGTTCGACAGGACAGCAAGTGATGCACATGCTTATCATGCAAACTGTGTTGCTGTCAGACAGGCCTTCTTCCTGCACTCTAAATACAGCCCCAAGTGGGACATGATTTGCATAGTCTGCGGAAATGAAACTGAAATTCTGGGCTCGCCCCTGCAGCAGATAGATCTGAAAAAGCGAAAGGTGGCCACACTCAATACCGGCCGAAGCTGCATCATGATTGCTTCCCCTCGCGAATCCTTGTTGTCGAATTGATTCCGCTGAAATTCCTTGCGATGAGTTGTGACAGTCTGTGCGCTCACAAAAATGTCACTAAACGTCTCCTGATGCCTACAGATGCTCATCAGCGTGTGTCCTGGATCGGGGTACCTGTCCCCAAAATATGTCTGCTCCTGCCTAGCTAGAACCTTCTGGTCGCGGAGCACCGCAAATGGATTTGCACTAGGCAGGGTCGCAAAAGTTGAAAGCAAAACATCACAAAGTCAATGCTGGTGCAGAATCTACTGCATGTCCGAAGTTTAGAGCGTACTAATATAGGTAACAGGTTGGGGCAGGCTCTGCAAATCAAGCTTCACTCAAGGAATCGATGTCGCTCGCCAACTGACACAATGAACCAACAATGTCACCTCAGTTGTTGGCTCTCGTCCTGTACCCTTTGCATTCAGCTCCCAGGACAATTGATACACTCTGTTCTCGCAGGTGCGGTGACAGCAAGCGGCTTGGCGGCTTGAAGACTGTTGGGAGCTTTGGAGATACAATAGCCGACTCTGGCGACGATTTGCGGCGGTGCTGCAGAACCGCTTTTAGTGGGGACCTATTAAAACTACAGTTGTCCTTCTCAGGGGGCTGTTTCATCATTCCAGCATTAGTGCCAGTGAGCTGAAATGGACTGGAGTCACGATCCACGTCGCAGCTTGTGGAGGGCAGTGCTGACTATCAAGCATACATTAATGTGACCAGCTGCAGACATGAGGAAGCACACTGCAAAATGTTCTCAGACCCTCTCTCAGCCGTGCTACGATTGTTGCGCTGCTTCATGGCATCTCGAATGGATTGGTGTGCCCTTGCGATGGCGCGGCCACCCTCTGACTCCAACACCAGGTGAAGCTTGCGGTACCATTCCTGTGGCAAGGTCCGCAAACAAAGCATTGGCATTTGCAACTGATATGCTCTTGATGGCCTTAGGAGACCTGAGAATTTGCATCAGGCCGCATGGGGGATTGAGTTCCGGCAAAGCTTCATTCAAGGCAAGGCTGTGCCAACTGCGTACGACCTGAATGCCGAGCTGCTCACGCCCGGACACTGTGCGATATCTGTGTAGCAACAACCGAATGCTTCAGATTCCAAGCCCCTCAAACTTGGAAAAGTCCCAGCTAACTTAAGAAGTTGGAGCATCAACGTCCCACAATCGTACAAAATGCAATAAGAAACAGAAGGAGGCTCGAGTACTCCTCTCCCCAGCGACATGCTGCACTCTAGTCAAAGCCCGCTTTCCACTGATACTGCCTCATCCGGCAGAGCAAGAAAGCGACACGCTGGCTGGACCGAGTGGATGTTCTCCTGCGCAATTGCTCAAGGTGCCTTGTATCCCCTGTCAATGCTGAGCTTGAAAATGGAAGCGCAACAAGTCCTGAGCAAACTCTATAGTAAGGGCTCATCTTGGCAATATAAGTCGGAATCCCTGAAGCCCAGGATGTTAAAATGCTGGACAGCCGCAAAACCCCGCGGTCCCGAGAAATCACAAAGGCTTCCGCTCTGTCTTCCCCAGCATCTTCTGGGACGTACCTCATGCCCGTGACAACTTCAGCCAATCAGAAATCTATTCTCCGAATGCGAACTTGTGCCAGTTGATATGTTCGTCCAATAAGGTGTTTCAGCTGGCAGCAGCACGAAAACATGGATCAACGCATCCAGCAGAATCATGGCTGCAGCTAGCTCTATCTCGAGCTGTGGGTTTGTAGGCGGCAAAAAAATCAAAACGTGCCACGGGGTTCCTCTGGGGAGACACACCTTTTGGGCTATTACAAATGCATTGTGCGCAGATTGATGCATAACTCGACAAAGTCTTCATGTATGGGTGGCACTTGTTTTTGGGCGGCTGTGTGTTGTTCAGTAAGTTGATTTTGGACAAAAACCATATGTGTACACCTCTCTGTGAGTACGCCCTCTAAGGTAAGCCGAAGTTTATCGAACCCACAAAAGGCTAGCCAAAGGTAGCCGAACCCCAGAGGGTTCACCGAACCACAGACAGGGCGAACGGGTTCTTCTAACCACCTGAAAAACAAAAAAAACACGGTTCCGCGAACCCCCGGCAACGTTCTGCGAACGCTGGTAGTAGGGCTCTGACGTGAACCCCCAGTGATGTGTACACATATGTTTTGCCTTGCGGTTTGGCATCAGCCAAGACTTGTCAGCACGTGCATTAGCAAAGTGCCGTCTGAAGGCTCTGGACGGATTTCCCCACCGCTGCTACTACCATCACTTCCAACACCACATCATGTTTCACCACCGCTGCCCTCTCCATCTGCCGCATCATGGCCATCACCTCATCATCACCATCATCCTCATCTGCTGAGGTCTCAACCTCCTGTACAAAAATGCCATGTACAGGTGGGCGCTGTTGTTTTGGCCAGGAGGTCTGCACTAGGCTAGGGAGCAGTCTGTGAATGCGTCCCTGTAGTTTGTAGCAGTTGTCAACTTCTGGGTGTTTGTAACTTCATACTTGGTGCGCCATGCCGCATTGTTTGCCGGGCTGAAGGCCTGTACTCGCGCATGCTGCGACTGCAAAGCAAAAAAACAAAATCTTCTGACTTCCAATCCAGGGCACCAGTTGTTTAGCACGAGCTCCGCATACTCTGGAGCATTTGCAAAAGGGCCTCAGTTCGAAGAAGGCTTGCCCTCAAGCTGGAGTGCAAAAGTTGCGCCGAGGCTGCAAGATGGTCCGCTGCACGGTTTGTGCGTCACGCAAGCCCATGAAAACACTCAGATGCAGCGCATGTAAAGGGACTGACTGCCGCAAGCTTAGCACAGCTTGCGTCTGCAGCTAAGGGGCGACCAATGATCTCCCCCAGCTGCCTTGGTTGTCCCAAGACTGCTGACCACTCCCATCCTCACCGATACATCAATTCAACCTCCCGTATTATCATTACTCAGCGTTCTGGATTCTTGCTGTAAGCAGCACAAATCAGTGAATCAGGCTACAGTACTGGCCTGAGTTGGCCAGATGTCAACAAGCCATACTACAAAATAGTTTCCATTTTCTTTTCCATTATCCCAATATATACCCAATATACTACATAATAGTAGGTTCAAAGGTGCAAAGGCCTTAGAAGAGGACTTTTCAACACTCAAGATCGCGTTGGTTTCAGGATCCACCACCGCAGATGTCAAACTCTTACACTGATAGGAGAAGCTGCTTCGCCGTGCTAGTCAGCCAGTCGTTCTCCCGCTGCTCCTGACCAAGGGTTTAGGGTTTAGGAAAATATACCCAATATACTATATAGTAGTTTCCATTTCTTTTCCACTATCCCAATATATACCCAATATACTATATAGTAGTTTCCATTTTTTCCGCTATCCCAATATATACCCAATATACTATATAGTACTTTCCATTTTCTTTTCCATTATCCCAACATATACCCCATATACTACATAGGGTTCCAGGGGTTGGAGGGTCTCAATGGTGCGGGATTGATTCATTCTGCTTTTCATGTGGGAGTGCTTCGCAACAGGGTTTGGATCCATAAAGCTCTTGCCTCCCGCCCATCCTATGCAAAGTCAAGCACCCAACCAGGCCAACAAACAGCTAGAGATGTGATTTCACTTCATGTGCGCATATCCACACATACATGAGCTTGGGGGCTTGTTCTCTCACCGCAAACATGCTACAACTATTGCTGCCATTATCTTACGTCTGCTGTTGCTGCTGTTGCTACATCGGTTTTGCTGCTGCTGCTGCTGTTAAAGCTATCGTCGTGCTTGTCGGTGCTGGAGGTGGTGTGAGGCGGCTGTGGTAGTGGCGGTCGTGGCGGTAGCATTGGTTGCAGCTGCCGTTGCCGTCATGATAGCTGCTTTTGCTGCCGGATATGGGCCAGGGTGTACAATGTACAATTGCCAACATGGGTATATTAACTAACATTTTACGTCTGATCAACGCAATGCAATTCTGGCAGAATTTTCTGGAGGCTTTGCCATTGGTATTTGCGCCAAGGCACCGTTGCCCTTGGATCGCTTTGCTCCTTCACGGTGCGGTAGGCGCAGGCCACGTGGCCAAGAAGGAGCCAGGCATGCTCTAATTCAGCAGCGCTAAAGTTCTCCTCAGGGCTTAGACGTTAAGGTCTAGGAAATTCTTCAGCGCTGTCTATCTTGCGGATCGTTGCTTGGCTTTCTCCACTTCGGGAGTTGCGTCGTATGGAGTTGCAGTTGATGATGTCAGTAATTTAACGAGGGCTCGGGCTTAAAATGGTGGCATCGTTTTGAATCTCGAACTTATAGGGCCAAGGGCAAGGACTGCTGCCCTAAAATGCAAGATTGCCGTTTCTCGGTGGCAAAGCCCTTTGCCACCTTCCAACTTCCACCCCAAATCGCACCCTACACCCCAAGAACCTAAACTTTAAACAAGATTAAAATGCAGCACAGGCATGTAAATCTCATGCCCAGGCTCCGCCGGTGACCCACTTGGCGAAGCTGCCACGAAGCTTTCCTTTGAGCCACGATAATTAGAAGCCAAGGATTGTCAATCTTGCCTTTACGGGATGAAAGGTGGCCATGAGCCCTAGCAAACAGGAGCTCAAAACACAGGGGACAGGGTAGTGAAGTCTGGCAAGTATGTAGAGCACCGCGGCTTGCTACAAGGATGGTTGTTCCAGAGAAGCTTTCATGTGAAATGGAGATCTGGTGATTTTGCGGGCATAGAGAGGGGCCCTCATTTACGGAAACCCAAGAAATGCTGAACTGCAAGCTGATCAAGCCAGATATTACTACTCTTGCTTGATTGTAATGGGCCCCTCCACGCATGAAATCCTGAAAGCCAGGTCACAAGCTCGGCCCGTCGGGCATCACACCTCGCCTCGGCGGTTGATAATCCAAGAACCGCTAAGAATGTCCATAGGAGGACCAGGAATTATTGGGGGTTCACAAAAGCCCATTCAAAACAGAATCAATGCAGGCGCTGCACCATGATTGCTGACAGCATGTCCTGATTAGGTCCTGATTCATCCTCGGATCTATGTGAGCTATAGTCTAAACTCCTAGTATCCCCCTTCATAAACCCTATAATACTCCCTTATAAAACCCCCTATAAAGCCCCCCTTTAAGGAGTTTAGACTATAGCTTATGTGGATCCAGCCGTAGCGGTGAGCACTGGCCGGGGGTTGTTCTTCCAATGAAGGCATGCGCAGACACGGGGCATGCACAGGGTAGCTTCCTCGAAAACCAGGGGAAGCGGCACGTACTAAATGGGACTCCCTTGGTTAAGGGCAGCACAAGTTGCGGGTCTATAAGCGTTTGTACATCTGTCGACTTCCATGCTCAACATGCTGCATCAAAAGCCTCCCAAGTACTGGATACCGGTGAGGTTATTACCTAGATTTTGCTGAAGCAACTGGCAGCAGCCTCGGCAGCCAGACGAATACGAGCATGATGAAGTCTGCAGCCAACATGGCCGCATTTCAAATTTGGGTCTTCTTTCTGCTCTGAGCTGCTGTAGAACTTTAGAAATTTCCAAAACACCGGCTTGCGCTTCTTCGGCCCCCGCCCCTCCTACAACTCCATTCCAGTCTTAGTTCTCATACATACCAAAATGGGCTGTCCACATTATGATGCCCAACATGCAATCGAAGAATGTGATCCCCATACTCATGAGTTTGAGAATCGCCAAATGCCTCAAAGCTACAACAAATGGATGGGTGAACCAACCATCTGCGGCTTCTTCATGGCAGGAGAAGCAGTACCTCAGTGGTGATGCAAGGCAAGGCTTTACGAAAACTGGGTCCTGATATGAACCCTTCCCGAAAACTATCCCTATCTGTGCTAAAAGGCCCACAGGGAGCCCCAGACATGTTCTTGATTGCAATCAAGGCCAGATGCATTCGCAAGATGGCAGGACTGTGATACAAGGATCTTAACTGGGAGCTCGCATTTCTTCAGGCAAAGTCCGAACAATTCTCGGCCATGCGTACCCAAACACAGTACTATGGGCCATGTCATGGGAACACTGTTGAAAGAAGAGCCACATCATTAAGAATAGCAATAAAAACAAAACAATATTAACAACACCGTAATATATAATGGCTTCCAGTTTGCATTGCCCCTAGTAAACCGTATGTAATTCTATTTACGAGTAGTAGCCATATGAAGGACTTTGTGGCTCTGTCGTTGACGAACTGAACCCTGCACCCTAAACCCCGAACCCAAAACCCTGAACCCAAAACCCAAAATCCTGAACCCAAAGCCCAAAACCCTACACCCAAAACCCTGAACCCTAAACTAATTACATGGAGGCGCGTAGGGATGATCGAGGCAAGGTAAGCCAAGGCCTGGGAGGGTAATAGGGAATAGAGGGATTCTATAGTTATGATAGGAAATATATAGGGGTTCTATAGTTATCCAGGACTATAGTCCCCCTTAAGTCGATAGAATATGGGGTATATGGGGATCTTAGTATGATTTACCCAAAGCCATATTCTATCTACTTAAGGGGGACTATATACTTGTGGGATTATATAGGGGTTACATAGGGGGTTGTATGTGGTTTCTTAGGGGTTATATGGGGTTTACACATCTAAGGGTTGTATGGGGTTCTATAGAGGTTATCGGGAACTGTTGCTGGAAAGCTTAATAGCTGAATAATATTATAAGAATGATAATGACAATAGCAGCTGCTTTATTCCAACACTCCGATTTCATTGCATCACGCAGTTGAGACAGGAAGTGTCCTCACTCACTGTCAAACTCCGACCTGGGCCTGCAACCTAGGGTCTGGATTCCTATAGCCACGGCAAGACGCAAAATGACGTGAATTTGTTGTTGGGTGTCCGAGACTGTCTTGAAACTGCTATTCGCAAAATCTTATAGATGGCCGGAATACTGTGTTTGCAAATGTGAGCAGCCACTTTCTCATAACAAGATTCTTTCAAATTGCGTATGCCTCGAAACGCGCAGAAAGGGGCCCTTGCCGCCAGGATCTCCAGGCTCCAATTTTGAAGACTTCCCCAGTTGCCGGCCAGGGAGCATGGCAACCTGGATGGGGCGCTTGCAGGCTCGAAGACCATGCGCTCATTGCGCCAGTCCCTGAGCTTCTTAGCTTTTCGAAGAGGAACAATCAAGCGCGAAGATGTACGGCGGTGCACAGTATTGAGTCTCGTCTCTAAATATGCCAGGTAGCCAAGGAAACATGTCTGAAGCTGTCCGGATATGTGGGACGTTTGATCTATGTGTTACTTTTGAATGCCTGTTTCGGAGGTTGGAGGGGAGCACAGGTTACAGTTGAGTGCTTGCATGCACTGGACATTGGCTTGTAGATGCAGTTGCTGTAAAAAGGACGATCCGATCCTGTGGAAGAGCCAGGGTAAATCTCCTGTATCCGGCTGACACTTACCCATCTCTGTACAGGTGTCTCTGGAAAAACAAAATCCTGTCAGCTTACCTTATTTGAATATGAGTCTATGAGTCAGGACCAAAGTCTGTGTCTCAATTTTGGCCCTCCCGACCAAGGTCAGTGGTGGCCCGTGACACGACGACCACACTGCCTGGTGCAATGACGTGCGGAAAATGGAACGCAGTGTAGATGTCCGCGGAAGGAAACAGTGCCTTCTAGTTGTCGGGTCATTGCCACTGCGCTAAGAAGCCTGATGGCAATAGCCTTCTAAAACACTGCAGTCAGAACTTCTGTTCCTTACTGAGGTCCCTACACATCGTCAGGAGCACGTATCATTGAGTTCAAAAAGCCTAGAAACCCTGGAGCTGCAACCCCAAGGCCAAGAGAAGCCTACACGCCTTACTCAAGCCTCTTGCACCCCTCTAGCGGGAAATCAGGGAATGAATCTCTACAGTGCTCCCTACAGGAGCCCTTGACAAAAACCGCCTCTGATTTCTCACAATAGGCCTTAAAACGCCCAGATGCGGTTGGTCACAAAGCCATTGGGCCCAGAGGCATCCCAGAGGCCATCTGCCTCCAACCGGTTATCTTCTGCATGGCTACTGGTATTCCCATGCCGTAGCAGTATTAGGCTGTAAGTTCCTCCACCTGCAGTTCTTGGCATGAAGCAGCAAATTGAAGCATCAAACTACAGTAGAAAGAATATGGCTTTGGGTATATATATAGATATTCTAATAAGATCCCCATATACGTCATATTCTACGTACTTGCAAGGGGGCCAGAATTTCTTCTGCTTCTCTTGGCCTCGTTGAGGGGTGGGATGCTCCAAAGCTCCTTCCCATCCTTCCTGTCTTTGTCAGGCGCACCAGCCTGGATAGCATCAAATCCTTAAAGCTTTAAGGGGGGTACATAGGGGATTATATAGGAGACTATTGATGGGGAAACTAGGAATTTAGCATTTGGAGGGCCATCCAACAAGGTGAAGATCCAACAAGGTGATTCAATCAATACGTCGAAGGATGGTTCAAGTACTGCAAGAAAAAACTGTATCTCAGTCTGGACATGCAAATTCAGAGGCCCGTCCTATGATAACCCACTCCAACTTTCCAAGCTATCTGTACGCATCTCGCAGATGAAAGCATTGGGAGCATTGGATTAACCGCACAGCGAAGACATTGAGGCGAACATTGCAAACAAGCCGCCGCGTGAAGTTCTGGAGTACGAGCTATGATGTCTGCCTTCCTGGGCACAGGACTCTGACGAAGCAAAAGTTTCATCCAGTCCACAATCAACATGGAAGTCGGCTGCCAGAAACTTCTGAACAATGTGTGAGCTGTCAGGCTATGAGTTCAACCTGAATCAGAAGTTGCAAAAATACTTAAACAGCAGCATCAAGCACAATTCGTGTGCTGCTTCAAGCAAATATGAACGCATTGTTTGGCCGTGCTTGGATGGGATTCATGCTCCAACCTGACTGGACCTCTTGTGCGAAGATTCGGCCACATTGGAATTCGGGCGTTCTGCGAGTCCGTGATGTGCTGCTGGAGGTAATCAAAGGTCGTTCCTCCTGAGGACTCAGACCAAAAAAAGCTGTCTGAAGAGGCCAAGAACATCTTCGGGCAATCAGGCCGGCCATTTCCGCTGCCCAACATGTTCATCAAGTTTGAAAGTGTCCCACACTTTGAAACTTGGTCGCTCTCCCTAGGTCCTAGGTGCAATGAATCTTACATCCCGGGCTTGCAAGCACAGTTGGGGTTTGGGTCCGGAGCTCCTGTTCCCACGACTGGCTGATGCGACCCGCTGGGGCTGCCTTAGAACAGCAAAGTGTTCATGCGGCTAGGTTTTCCTGCTGACCGCGGATAGTCTGGCGGTATATGCGGTCTCAACAGACCTGGTCTGAATAAATAGAATAGAACGCTATACTCTCAGCACAGCAGTGTACGATCTTGAGCCGTGTGCGTGAACTCTGCTCACCAAGCAAACATCCATCTTGGAACTCCATGCCACTCGAGACTGATGTCGACTCTTGCTGTTGCAAAGGTACTTTCAGCGTGCGCGTGAACCACGGGACACACTGCCTGGCCGGAGGAGGGGCCAGCACTTGACGGCCGCACGATGAACTGCTCCACGAAACTCCAATGCCTGCTAGCACGGTTTTCGGACGGAATTTCCTGGACCTAGAAAGACGCCTTGGTGCCTATCAGGCTTCGCAAGACAAACACATCTGTATTTAGTTGATGGTTGCTCAACTTGAAAGCTCAAATGCAAGAATGGCGTTTGCATATCATTGCAGGGGGAAACAGCACTGACCGTATTGAAAGCTATGCACAGCTCAAAAAACTCTACAATGAATCAATGAATCCTGAATGCGACGAGCACATACAGCAACCCTAGACCCCAAGTCAAGTTGCAGGCAGCATTCAAGGCATAGTCCGGCAGATGCCGGTTGCAAGGCCATGGTTTAGGGCACTGCTAGGCGAAGCATCTGAAGCATCCCACACAACAAGTCTTGTTCCTATTTACCATAATGTGCCACTCTCGCATAAACCCAAAGGTGGCCTCCATCGGAAGTCGAGCACTCGAGATATGCAGGCATTGAATGCGCCTGCCGGCTTGTACCAATTCGCGCAGTTTTTCTGCTTGTGGAGCTGTCAGGTAGCAGCCAGGCAAACTGTGACTGCTCCTGCGTTCTGTGATCAAAGCCTGCCTTAATGCAAAACACACTAAATGATCAACAACGAGCCTGAGCAGCATGATCATAATAATGATGATCAACGACACTGTGCAATGGCCTGCCAAGGCATACCAAGTCTTCTCCTCCACAGATTCCTTGCGGGACTCAACCCAGCGTTTGACACTCCTCAGATGCAGCTTCCACATGAAGCCACGGACACAATTGCAAAAAAGCTTGCCCAGCTGAGTGGCCGGCGGGCTTTAGAGAAGCTGAGCCAGCAAAAAGCGAAAATGATAAAAAGGTCACAAGCAACTTGTCAATTGCTGGACATCCGCAATACTGAAAACGAATAGTTCGGGTTAGTTCTCCATGGCGCAGGCATAGCGAACCTGCAGGCCTCAGAAATACCCGCCTAAACCCTATCTGCTAGTTCAGCGCCAGACCCCAGACTTGGGTAACTCTACTGAAATACTCAAGCCCACACGGGGCATTGAGCAAAGCATCCTTTGAACGAATGATTATGCAGTAAGCTTAGCAAGCCACATACTGGAAAGCTGAGATTGTGAAAAGCACAAGATTGTTTTCATGTGGTCGCGTGCCTTCTGTCTTTTTGCCTGCTCCAGTTTGTGCAGAGTGTTTTGAATTTTCTTGCGTTTACTCTCTGCATTTTTGTTTCTCCCAAATGACGACAAAAGTTTCTGGATTCTGCACCCTTGTATCCTATGCATCGTGTTTGACCTGAAGCAGCGTGAACCACAACGTTTAAAAAAAACTGACGCGAAGACGACACGCAAGCAAAACACCACATCGCACAAATTTGCCTGCCCTGTCGGCATGCTACAGTTCCGACTTTTTGTTGAGTGGGTTGGAGTTTTATTTGGGTGGTTCTTGCTTTCGTCAGAATCGCCAAGTGGAGTTGGATGGGTGTATGTTAGAAGGTTTAGATGGGGTTCTGTTCGTGGGCAAACCCTGGCAAGCGGACCTTCTAACAAGTCAACCTTCTTCCCAAAGCCCTCTTCTCATTCAGCAGCTACCTTTGAGTCCCAGGAGCTGCGGGGCATTTCGGAGCCCATCCAAAAACTCACGGTGCTCTTTCGGGATGTAAGCCTGCAAGTGGAGAGCGTAGCTCAGAGCAGAAGTGAAGCTTCTTGAGTCCTTGCAAGATTTCCTTGTTTCAGGCTGCTTCCGTTGACGCCTTCGGAGGAAGCACCGACCAATGCTGCCACTACAGTCCACAATCGTCAGCCCAAGAAGCTATCAACAAGCTGCGTCCAGGCATTGGAACTCTCATGCAGGATTTTCTCAGAATCCCCTCAGCGTGTTTTTCGCCAGGGCTACAAGGGGATCATCGGGGTCTTTGTAGAGGCTCATATAAATCACGTGTGGAGAAACTCACAGCTGGTGCAGGTCAGAGTTCAGTCAGTGTGGAAGCTTTCCCTTCCTTCGAGCTGCTTTCATCAGCAGCTATCAGAACATCATGAGGCCAAGTGCAGCACTATAGTCATCAACTACAATCACGTTCTTGTAGGAACACTCACAGCTGTGGAATTCGTGTTTCGCCTTCCATGGATCCTGCCTCGAATGCTTTTACCGCCTCACGCAGCTCCGCGGAAGTGTTCTTGATGCCCAGCAACGCATCCACTGCCTCAAGCGAGCGGTGTCAAAGAATGCTTCTGTGGTCTGCAAGGACTCCAATGCACATCAGTCTTGTGTAGTTTTGGAATTGTGGTGGTTCAGTGACAAAGGACAGAAGTTGCGTATTAGATTTGTCATGATTTGTCGAAGCCGGGCTGGCCAGTTACACTATCAGATCCGCAGCAGAAGACCTCCAGGATTGCAAGTCGTTTCACGTGGATTCATCCGCGCCTTCCTTTCAAAAAGCAAGAACCTTTCTTGCACACATCTTAGCCGTACACAACTCCCCAAGTTGTGGGAAACCCCTGGGTTCCTTTTAGGACCTCTGCTACCCACACATTCCTCTTGCTCTACCCATGACTTCCCAGAAGCACCTGCCTCAGTAGATTTAAGAATGTGGCCCAGCTGCAGGAAGGATGGTGCTCATGGCTCCAGAGGGCCCATTTAATCTCAACCTGACCAGCATTGGCAGTCTTTGCCACACATATGTAAACAGGATAACATGTCTATGTCATGTATGATGGGGTTGAATGGTGCATGTAAATTGGTTCGGGCGGTTGCTGGCTCGTTTCCAGCGAGCTTGGCAGAGCTTACTGAGCCTATCCCAACACAACACACATGAACTACCGAAACATGATTAGGGGAATGTTGTTTAGGAGCCGAGGGGGTATAAATGGGCTGGATGCCCAAGGCCAGCTAAGCTGTTTGGGAGTGGGTGCCCTGGTCGAAGGCTGGTGTGCAGCATGAGTGGTTTGTTGCGAGACTTCCCAGGAAGCTAAACGGTTTCTCAGTCAAACGGTACAAGAAGAGTATGATGATCCCATGCTATGTGCTGAGCGAGGTCCGGGAAGTAGCGAAGAATTATAGTATAAGCCCAATATTACCCCAACATAACCCGTGATAGTAGTTTCCATTTTCTTTTCCATTATCCATATAAAACCCAAATATATATATATACTTATTAGAGCCGGAGTGGAGGCCTGGGTAGAATTGCAAGGTTCTAAGAAAGCTGATGCTGTAGCGGTGCAGTGGCCGGATTCCAGGATAGAATGGCAGCAGGAGGGGGATGGATGGGATTGTTGTTTCAGTTGTAAAGTAGTTGTTTCCCACCAGTGTAGCCAAAGAACTCCTCCTCGCCAGTGCCCCCGTCCATCTTCACCTTGATCGATTTAATGTACCTGATGATGCGGGGCGATCTGCTTTTCCAAAGGAAACTTGGCAAATGGAGTCCACAGAGGCTGCTATGTGGGCCTTGCACTGTGCAGGTGCCAGAATTCGGATTCATGGCAAATTTCGGGATCCAGACTTTCCTATGTCCAGTTCAGGCAGCCATTCCAACAAGGCACGGCCGCAAGCGAAAGAAGAACAAGAAGGGCTCGCACATCAAGGAATGATCTGCAGGCGAACGTGCAAACCTTGGAACTCAACTAGGCAGTATCGTAAGCTTGGGTTGTTACTACTACTCAGGGAATTGCGTTGAGAGCTAGCTAGCGCTGGATGCCGGCTGCAAAGCGTTGTGTGGCTGCAAGTCGCTCTGCCGCCTTATGATGCAGATACAGCTTTGGCCGAACCCCATGCGCCTAATACATCTCTGCCTTTAAGCCGAGATTTTTAGAATACCATGTTTGCTTGCAGCCAAGCAGCATGATGGGTAAACAAACCGAGGCTAGCCGCCAAAGGGCCTCCTCCAGAGTGTGCAGCTCCTGCAACCTTTGGAAGCCAAAGAGTCCCAGAAAACGATCCACGGCAAATTGCTGCTTAGTATAGGAGCGCCCCAGCCACTTTGTGTAAGCCAAGGGACAGGTTGTGGATGTTCTCCTCCTTCATGGCGGTCGAGATGGCCTATCACCGCAACTATAACTCAAGTCACTGGACAAGTTTGGCATTTAGGGGGGCTGAGATGTCTACAGAAACCCAGGGCCGGTATTCATAATCCCAATAACTATAACCACTATGTACAAGAGAAATTCTGAACAAAATCGCCTCCAAGCTCGAGACCACATGGCCCCCCTCAGACTCGATGATGATGTGGGTCTTGAAGAACCACTCCTCATCCACCAACCTGGGCAGGTTGTTCGTTACCTTTGCTGCTGGGCCTAGGGGCTTGGTGCCATTCAGCGGCCCGGTGAACCGACGAAGGAGCCGCAAGTTGGAAGGCTTGATGGGACCTGCAGAGGCTTGGGATCAGGTATTTGCAGCCTGCTTGTGATGGCAGACCTGGCGGTAATGGTGGGGGGGGCGGTGGAGGCGGCGGAGGTGGGCAGAACCATCGTCGGAGTAGCAGGACTTACGCTGCGGCAGTGGCATTAAGTAATTAGCAAAGTGCTGGTGGTAGTTGGTAATCGTTGTCCGCCACCATCCCCCTCCCCGATCACTGCTTCTGTCGGCAGTGGTGGCTGCATAGACAAGCCCTTGTCCAAGCAGATCACGGGCTTTGACTATATATGCTCAGCATACATCGATACGCTCAAACTCCAACATCTGAAGCCCATACGTTTGAAATTTGCATGCAACAGCATCTTCGGAGGTTGGAAATCACAAGGAAATGCGCAGTACGGACATCGCAGCCTGAATAACGTCAAAACATACATGCATTCCTGCCTGCTTCTTACCCATGCCCCACTTCAGCGCCTGAGGGGTCCAAGCGCTCCCAGTTGTTGAGCACGCAGCCGGCATAGTCGAGCATGGGACGCCTTCCTAACCGCTCCTCAGCAGCAGAATAGAGATTATGATAGAACCAAAAATACGATTCTCCCAAAATACGACAACCAAAGGGAGAATACAAGCTTGCTCTATGGACCATACAGTGCCCCTAGTAGGAAGAAATTCTGCATAAGGACCTTCGTTGTACGTCTGCCAATGTGCATCAGACGGATTAGGATTGACCATGTGCACCAGGAAGTGGAGTTTCGGAGGCCTTAATCTTGCGGGGGGGATCTCGGTCGTAGCGTTATGTGGGGTAGATTGGTGGATTTGCTGATTCTTGTCGGGATGGTGTTAGAGGATCAGGATTCCAGGGCATCATGGGAGAACCGGTCACGTATGGTCCTGTCAGAGTCCTTGTGTTGAGGGGCCACATAGAGAACATCATTCAGCACATTCGGAAGACAGTGCACAAGATGATGGGGGCCCTCAACTGCTAGAATGTGGACTTGAGCTGACTTCTGTACGATGCAGAAACAGAAACTGTAAGAGAATACGAATAGTACTTGCTCAGGTTCCTGTAATGAATCGCACAATGCCCGGCCGGATCTGACCCTGCCCCCATCAGGCAAACCGAAACTTCTAGTCCAGAC